CCCGCCGCTCTGCCCCACGGCGCCGCCGTGCTGCTGCCCGCCGCCGTGCTGCTGGCCGCCCCGTGCCTCTTCCTGCCGCTCTACCTCCTGGCGGCCGCCATCTTGGGGCGCCGGGCGCCGGAAGTGTGGGCCGCGGGAGCGGAAGCGTGGGGCGGGGCGGCGGAACGGAGGGGTGGGGGAGCGACGGAAGCGTGGAGGAGCGGCGGGGGGACGGAAGCGCGGCGCGGGACGGCGGAAGCGCGGGACGGAGCGCCGGAAGCGCCGTATAGAACGCCGGAAGCGTGGCCCAGCGGCGGGCCGGAAGTGCCGTACAGAGCGCCGGAAATGCGGCGCAGCGCTGCACCGGAAGTGCCGTACAGAACGCCGGAAGCGTGGCCAGGCAGCGCGCCGGAAGTGCCGTACAGAACACATGAAGCGTGGCTCAGCGTCGCACCGGAAGCGCCGTACAGAACGCCGGAAACGCGGCGCAGCGCCGCGCCGGAAGTGCCGTACAGACCACCAAAACCGCGTCGCGGCGGCGTACCGGAAGCGCTACGCGAAACGCCGGAAGCGTGGCCCGGCGGCGAGCCGGAAGCGCACTCGATGGGACCGGAAGCGTGGGCGAAGAAGCCGGAAGCGTGGGGCGGAGCGCGGCGCCTATGGCTCCGGTTCCTCCTCCGCCTCCCGCCGCGCGTCTTCGCCGCTTTTTCCGCGCTGGGCTTCGCGTCGGAGCGCCGCCTTTTCCTCCTTTTCCCCCGGGCCAAACACGGCCCGGCCCGCGCCGCGCCGCGCTTCTCCTCCTCCTCTTCCTCCCCGCCGCTTCGGCTCCGTTCCCGCCTCCCCGTCCCCGCCGCCCCCCCCGGTTCTCCTCGGCCGCCGCCGGGCGTCTTGGCGCAGCTGCGGGCGCTGCTGTGGGGCGGGGTGAAGCCGCTGTGGGGCGGATTCCTCCACTTATGGGGCAGCATCCCGCCGCTGTGGGGCAGGATTACCCCGCTGTGGGGCAGGGTTTTCCACTTCTGGGGCGGGGTCCTCCCGCTGTGGGGCACGGCGCTATGGGGCAGGCTGGGCCCTCTATGGGGCGGCTTCCAGCACTTATGGGGCAGGATCGCCCCCCTATGGGGCAGCCTGGACCCTCTATGGGGCGGAGTCCTCCACTTATGGGGCAGGCTGGGCCCTCTATGGGGCAGATACCCCCACTTATGGGGCAGATTCCCCCACTTATGGGGCAAAATCGCCCCCCTACGGGGCAGAATCCTCCACTTATGGGGCAAAATCCCCCACTTATGGGGCGGATTCCCTCACTTATGGGGCGGAATCCCCCACTTGTGGGGCGGCCCGATCCGGCAGTGGGGCGGAGGAGCCGTGAAGCGCCCCGCGTGGTTCCCCGCCCCCCGGCGCCCCCCGTCCCGCATCCCCCGCCTCGCCCCGCGCCGCCCCACCGCCGCCGCCGCCCCCCTCCGCCCCACGGCGGCCGCCGCCGCCCCCAAAGTCGGGGGGGGGGGAGGGGTGCCGCTCCGCTGTCCGACGAGGAGACCGTGGAGGTGAGGGGGGGGAAGGCAGCGTTTGAGGGCGGAAGTGGCGGCTTTGGGACCGGAAGTGGCGGCTTTGAGGGCGGAAGTGGCGACTTTGGGACCGGAAGTGGCGGCTTTGAGGGCGGAAGTGGAGGCTTTGAGAGCGGAAGTGGCGGCTTTGAGGGCGGAAGTGGAGGCTTTGAGGGCGGAAGTGCCCGTTTCGGGTCGGAAATGTCCATTTTATGGGGCAGAAATGCCAACTTTGGGACCGGAAGTGGCGGCTTTGAGGGCGGAAGTGGCTGCTTTGGGGACCGGAAATGGCCGTTTCGGGTCAGAAATGTCAACGTCTGGGACCGGAAATGCCCATTCGGGGGGCAGGAATGCCGGCTTTGGGACCGGAAATGGCGGCTTTGGGACCGGAAGTGCCTGTTTTGGGGGGCAGAAATGCCCCTTTTGGGACCGGAAATGCCTGTTTTTGGGGGGCAAAATGCCCGTTTTGAGGGCGGAAGTGCCAACTTTGGGACCGGAAATGCCCATTTTTGGGGGCAAAAATACCCCTTTTGGGGACCGGAAATGCCCGTTTTGGGGGCGGAAGTGCCAACTTTGGGGTCAGGAATGTCCAGGGGGGGGGGGGGGGGGGGGGGGGGGGGGGGGGAGGAATCCCCATTTTGGGGTCAGAATTGTCCATTTTTGGGGCAGAAAAGTGCCAACTTTGGGGTGAGAAATGCCCATTTTGGGGGCTGAGCTGACTGCTGTGGGGCAGAGACCCCCACTTGGGGGGCAGGGGGCCCCGATTTGGGGTGAGAAATGCCCATTTTGGGTCAGAAATACCAACTTTGGGGGCAGGGAGCACCGATCTGGGGTCAGAAATGCCCAATTTGGGGGCAGAAACTCCAAATTTGCGGCTGAGCTCCCTGCTATGGGGCAGAGACCCACACTTGGGGGGCAGGGACCCACACTTGGGGGGCAGAGGGCTTCGATTTGGGGTGAGAAATGCCCATTTTGGGTCAGGAATGCCCCGATTTGGGGCCAGAAATCCCAACTTTGGGGCCGAGTTCGCTGCTATGGGGCAGAGACCCACACTTGGGGGGCAGAGAGCCCCGATTTGGGGGTCAAAAATCCCAACCTGGGGCTGAAGTTGCTGC